GTGGAAGAAGGACTGGAGGCTCTGCATACTTCTTTCCATTCTTCAAGAAATTATGCGAGGCGGCGAGTTTACCAGCGGTAAGGATACCTCCATGCCTATTGCCTTTATAAAAAAAATGATGCTTACATGATGTCAGTTCTGGAATCGTACGACCGCTTCCTCTCCTACATCAAAGAGCAAGATCTACAGGATGTGTTCGAGCTGAAGCCCCTCGCCAACGGCGGAGAGATTGTAAAGGCTCTTGGTTGCAAGACTGGTCCCTGGATGTCGAAAGCCTTGGATATGTCCATCAAATGGCAGCTGTTGCACCCGGAGGTTACCGAGAAGGAAAAGGTGCTAGAAGAGCTGTCCCGTAGAAAGGAAGAGCTAGGCATCTCTACATAGTAATAGGAATATCATGGCCGCTCTATGGGTCCGACGACTCTGTTATTCATTCCCCTCAACAATACTCGGCTTTGTGGGAGGAGTCCAAGGTGAATCCTAGTTCGTCCCTGAATTCATTTGGTGCCTCTAGCAACAAGTGAAGCCAAGCCCTCGACTCACGTTTCCTCGATCTGGTGTCTCAATTTCATATGCCAACAGGTGTCATATAGTATGACGATCGTGGACTGTCGCGAAATGGGCACATTCAATGCGCCGGATCGCACGGCAGTGCCTCACCCAGTGTGAGTAAGGGTGATCGCTCAGACAGGGAAGGGACACTCCTTTATCCATAGACCACATCAGTGCCAATGAATTGCACTCACGTTTTGGTCCACTAGGTATTTAATGTAAGGAAGTATATTATCATGTATCACGTGGATGCCTGGAGACCATACTCAGCTATAATAATCCAACACATACCCTATGCGTTACAATCCATCTTTCTCCAGAGCTGCACGGCAGAGTGGATATGGCTACCTAGAATGCCTTGAGTGGCAAGTCAGAAATCCGGAAAATCTCGTGAGTTGTTTCTGGGTGGTTCATATCCCATATGCTTGTGCATCCACTTCCTCAAGTCCGGCCACCCGATATCGTCAGCAACTATCGTTATATTCGAGTGACAATGTTTCATGAAGACTGGGGTCTAATCCCTATCTGATATACTTTGGGTTGAAGAGACGCATGAAACGTTCCTTGCGTAGGGCTCGGGAATCTCCATGGGGTGAAGGGTGTAGCAACCACCACAGCCGTCCTTCAGGTTTGGCCTTTTCTTGACATATAGATTAGGCAACTAAATAATCGGTTCCCAGACAGACGATTTGCATCAATATATGTGCTAAAACAAGCAGTACATGCCGGGTCTATGGAGTGCTGCCTTACCTTCTTCCACTATACATCTGACAGGTTATACACACCTGATAATACTCCAAACACCCCAATCGTGCAGTATGGGGTCATACCACATGTGTAAGTCAAGGCGGATATGCATCTACAATAGCTCACATGAACCAACCTTCAAGAAATGGTGGCTGGCTCATGGTGATAATTCCCTCAGCTCAATCAAGCCCACACATGACCTATGCAATAGGGATGATGACTGTGTTTCCAATTTGAGCATGCAATGGAAGGCTACAAATACATCTCTCAATCCCATATCTTTTGAACGTCAAAGCCTTGTGATGGCAACCTGAAAACGTATGAGACATTCCTTCTATATTACTTTGACAGGTTAACACTTCACTGACTAATTGTCTAGTGTTTGCCACTGTATTGGCTCAGCAACGGCGGCTCCCGAAGCATTGTTCACCTGAGGGATCCCCTTGATAGCCCTATTATGGACGAAATGACTTCATATCATCCATGTGCAGCGTCATGTGTCGATTTCATATTGATGGGGGAATGTAATGAGAGTTCCGATGCGTTAGGTCAAGGGGATTATGCTGGAATGGAAGATGACATCCAGCTCTCAGTTGCTTGTGTTTGGGCCGTGTTACTCCATGATATACATGTTCAGCAGATGTCTCAGCAGTGTTTAGGGTAAAATTTGATAGTCAGTGGATGATAGAACGTGCAATTATCTACCTCATTTAATCTAGTGGAGCATCAGCTGTATTTATTGCATCCTCATTAGGTAATTTTACTCTCTTCTCTATCACAATCAGAACATTGAAGCAGTTTGTGGCGTAGCACTTCAGTGATCAATCCCCAAGATCATTTCTGAACCGACTAGGTAAAGTTGGCGAAACCCAGAAATATATACTACGTTTAATGAGTAATCGTTTTCGTTCTTGCTTCGTCCTTTCTTTGACACGTGTATAGTACCAAAGATTTTCTTGGATAGAAACGGCGAAAAATACTGATAGAGGAGAAAAGGAATTAAAGAAACTGCTCATATAGTACTAATTTGCAGCTGAACGATGTCTGGTTGGGTAATGTCAGGACCGTTTCTCGGCTCCCGTTTCTTACCGCTCGAGAAATTCGGTTGCCGACGGCGAAGGATCCCCGAGTCATCTGGCCCGAAGCTACCTTTCTATGGACATCTTGACTGTCAGTTCAACAAACACGTTTCTGTAGATAGCGAGGTAAATAGACGTGTCTATGGAAGAGTTTCAATCGGTGGCGCGTGAGTGCCTAGGTCGTGGTGATGCGCACATCCCAGACTCGCGGCTGGATAATGTCGTCGTCCCTAGAGAATTGGACCATTTATGGGACACCATCTCAGCCCACGAGGACAAAGACAATGCAACTGTATGATAAGGCGTTTTGATATGCACTGAGAAAGTGATGCTAACTGAGCACTACAGGTATCTGAAGACTTGTTTCTCGCGCGGGAGTTCCTGAGACTTTGGAACTCCAATGAATTATCAGAGCCTGATGTCGCCGCAGCAAATCACATCTATGCCTGGGCGAGTAGGCATGCTCTTCCATCTGCAGTGTATGCGGAATCTATGGAAGAGCCCAATGGTGAGTTGATAGACTTCCCCTCTCACATTCTCAAATATACTGACATAGCCCAGAAGAGAAGAACGCTCTTATGCATGAAGATAAGCTGCGATCTTCACTCGCAATATCCGTGATTGCGGCCTTGGACTCTCTATTTCCAGTGTATAAAGCAACAGACGTGCCAAACATCATCCTCGCACTGGCGAGCTTCACCTCTGAAGCAGACCCGTGGACAACAGCCGACTCACACACGGCGTCCACTGCCATTCTTGAAAGGTTTCGCACATCACCCAGGACACCAGAGGCATCGTTTTGGGCTGTCCTTGAAATCATCCTCAAGGACAGAATCCGACCTCTCTTCACAAGGACCAGGAACCCCGCCATTACAGCAGCAGGTCGCAAGGACATGCACCCTATCCCTCTTCCCAGATTTGATACCAGCATTCTTGACCCTGAGTCGAAACCATGGCGATCATCAGACGTCTACGCGACGACCGTCTTTGCCTGGATCCTAAGGCAATATCAGGTAAACCCATCTTCAACTGATCATATTCACTTGCCGCTAACAACTTCCAGGCGCCAGACATCAGCCGTCTGGAATCCCACTTCCCCGTCCTCGTCCCATCAATTCTCGCCCTGATTGACGATGAGACCAACCCCAACAAAGCCGACGGCTGCACTCTTCTCACCCATCTCCTGCAACCCATCCAGCAAGCCAAATCCGATATTCTGAAGCGTACCAACCTTTCCTCTGTCTTCATCGATGCCATCAAACCATGCCTCCTCTCCCTACCCACCATAACCCCTGAACCCGACTCCATCCGTCTCCTAAGCACAGCCTATCCAACCCTCTTCTTACTCCTCAAAACCAGCTACTTACCCAAGGATAAACAAACCTACACCACCGAGCTAACGAAAGTCCTTCGCGAGAACCTCATCCCCTCCTTCCACCACATCAGCACCCTGACGCCTTCTAGCGGGACACAATCTACGCTATCCTCGTTCCCGCACCCAAAATTGTCTACTCTTTTATTAAACAAGATACATGATAGTCTCTTCGATCTCCCAGTTCACACAACAAAGTACCTACAGGAAATCATCCCACTCATCTACAGTACGCTGTCTAATCCCTTCGGGACGGCGTATCCACCTCTCCTATTGGCAGGAGTGGCTGTTACTAGAGCTGTGATTATGAATGCACACCCGAGGATTTGGTACTGGAGAGGGGAGATTCTAGGTGCCGTGGCGGCATGTTGGCTTAGCGTGGCTGACGAGGAGGCTGCGGAGCGAGGAAAAGAGGATGAAAAGGAAGATTTGATTAAACTAAAGAGGCAACTAAAGGGCGTGGTCTATTTGCTGAGGATGGTTTTGGAGAATCCAGATGAGGAGATCGCTAAGGATGACGAGGTGATTGAGGCGAAAGAGGGATTTGCGAAGGAAGTAGAGGAGCTAGTTGGTGCCGATGAGGCATTGAGGGAATTGCTGCTTGGGGAAGTAGATGGGAAGGATGGAATGAATTTTGGTGTTTGATACCAGTTGATTTCTTAACTGCGTCATTCTGGATAATGTTGGCCCGGTTTTATGGGTTAGTTTAGGCCAGTGATATATCCCCGAATTGATTTTTTCACCTCTACTGCCAATAAGTAGTCTCTCTTAGCCAACACCGTGTTGAAGGCCTAGATAAAATCACACATACAATCACATCAGTCTCTGCCGACTCTCTCAAATTGAGTTCGATATCATCTCGGACTCGAATGCAAGTGTTACCCTATACTAACAGAGTCTCAAGGCAAGCCACATATCCCCCAGGATCGACTTTGACCCAGCACACTGCTAATATACCCTCTCAGCATCTGAATACAACATCTATTCCATTCACTGCAGTCCCACTTCCTACCACCAGCAAAGCAAGCCCTACAACCAGCCCCGATGCTACTGCCAAGTAACACACTCCATACCATGATCAAGCCTCTTCCATATCTTCCATCTCTCAAGACCCTCCTCTCACCTACTCATCTCCAACTCAACTTTCCCCTTCATCAACCCCTCCCCCCTCACCAACCACCATTCTCTACTCCCAAACCGAAACCGAAGTTACAATCCCAATGCAAGAACCACCACAACCAGCCCCAATCATGTTCCGAATCTTCAATTACACCCAACCCCATCCCTCAACCTCACCACCATCTCACCAACACACCCCCAGCCCAATCCCCTCCGTCCGCGTCGAAATCCCCCCCTCAGAGCGTACGTCCCCCCTTAACCCACCCCCCAAAACACCCCGTTACTAACCAAACCCAGTCCTCCCCGGACTAACCCACAACGACCTCCCCCTCCTCGGCACCCGCCCCAGCTCCTCAATGCTCGAATACGACCAACTGCCCATCCTCCGACACCTCGAATGGCGCATCGACGAGAACTCCAACGAACCACTCCGTCGACCACTGAAAGACGTCGTGTCTCTGACGGCCGCATTCGCACAGACACGCGGATGCGAGGCTCTCGAGCCGTGCATCCATTGCAGAGAGGGAAAGGGGGTCTGGAAGACATGCGTGGTGGGGTTCGATACCAGGGAGGGAATGAGTGCGCATGGTGCTTGTGCGGCGTGTCGGTTTAGTAGGAGGGGGTGTAGTTTCAGTAGTAAGTACTCGTCTTTCTGGGTGTGAACTTGGGAGGAAAAGGTGCTAATTGTGGTAGATGTGCAGGCTGAGGAACCCGAGACTCCGATTAGAGTTAAGGATGAAGCTGGGCTCGCCACTCCGCCATCATCTGCTTCAAGGGGATATTCAGCGACAGCTACTGCTGCTGGTCGTAGTGGCAGTGGAGGTAGGGGTAGGGGAAGAGGGCGCAGATTTGTTGTTCGTTCGAGACCGTATAATCTCAGACCGAGGGCTACTACTCCAACGCCTAGTGGTAGTGATATGGGGTATACCAGTCGTGATGATGAAGAGCGCGAGTTAGGTCCAATGATCAAGTCTGAGAGCAGCGAGGTGTCCACCTACTCGTCTGGTACTTCTCGCCTTGATGGAAGGATTCTTCCTTTCCCGTTGGGTCCGGAGACGATTGATGATCTGCCCTTTTTGAGACGCGCTGTTACGGAGATGGAGATGCATCTGGGGACGTTGAGGAGGAGGGTGAGACAGTTGGAGGATAGGGAGAGGATGAGGGATAGTAGTATGAATCCGTGGGAGTTGGTGTGATTGGTTAATTGGTTAAGGAGGGTTGGGATGTTCAAATGGTGGTAGGGGGTTATGGTGTATGGATTGACGGGGACGTGTACACTGCGTCGTGTTCATAGTGGAGAATGACTTGCATGTCGAATATGGGGGTGATAGTGTGGTCATTTGTGGGAGTTAGCGTTCGATGGAGTGGGAGGGCGTTTTAGCGAAAAGGCATATGTGATAGACAACGGGACTGGCATCAAGCACTACTAAGTGTAAATGCGGTGTCCATAGGAAATCAAAGCGAAACATCTTTCTCTAAGATAATGCAGCCGTCAATTCTATCATGAATATATACAACACGACTTTTAAGACCCCCGAGACGAAGTATACACCTTCTGAGGATACAGAAAGCCACCAGGGCCACCATCTACATGGTTCTCGTGCCTCGGTCTGAATCCGTCCGATGACGAAGGCAGCATATCAAAGCATTGCGTACTCAATGACTCTTGAGTATTGACCTTCTTGACAACATTCACCAGCCGTCCTAGTATCGCGTACTCCAGCTTCAGCTTAATGCTATAAGCGACGGGCTTGAACATAACCTGCAAGGCATAATACCCGGCATACTGAATACCGACGACGGCTATATCAAGTATCAATACCAGGATATTGATCCCGATCAGCTGCGCAAGGATACGACGATGTCGATCTTCAGGACGGAGTCGTAGCAGCTTCGCAGCTTCCCAGACATACAGACCGGACAGGAGACCTTCTTGGAGGCAGAAGCCGACGAGCTGAATCCGCTCCATGATGTTGTATCCGTCGTTGAAGAGTCTCCAGTGCGTGGAGACGGTTCCGTATAGGAGGACAGTGATGGGGATCTGGAGGAGGATGTCGTCCAGGATGATGAGACGGAGTAGATAGCGGAGGATTGTAGGGTCCTGGAGGACGAGATGGAGACGGGACCAGAGGACGAGCGAGTGGCCGGTTATCATACCGCACCAGCCGATCATGATAAGAGTGACAGAGCCGTAGGGCGAGATTTGGGGTCGGGAGAAGAGGAGGATATATCCTACGCATTGCGGGACGATGCTTAAGGAGGCTACGAGTAGGGACCAGAAGTAGACGCTGCCTCGGCGCTTGAAGGTCGAGAGACAGAGGATGATGAGCTCGATGGCATTGTAGCAGGCGATGGCGGCAAAGGCCGTGAAGATGTGCACTTGGTGGGAGTCTCGGTATATGTCGGGGAGAAGGCGCCCTGAAGGGGTGTCGCGTTTGAGGAGCATGGATGAGGGGGACACATGGTTGACAAGATGGTATGTGGTAGTGAGGGGGAGGGAGGATAGTGGGAGATTTATTTCACGTCCACCAGGGTCGCCACGCTCAGGGTCCGAGGAGAAGAGGATCTGCGAGTGGATGCAAAGGACAATGGGGCCAACAAGGGCCGCTCAGGCCTCCGATTTGCTCCTCATGGGCAGGATGGCGCGAGTGGGAACATATGCAGGGAGGGTGCGGATGCGGAGAGAGACTAGAGGGGGATCGCTGGGTGAAGCACAATCAAGGGTATGAACGGCAGAAGATCGCCTCACCGGCATCAGGGGGTCCCTGAAAGCAAGGGCGTTATTAGCTCATGGATACGAGGTCTACGCGTGGCCGAGCATCTGACGGAGAAGTTAGCCGATCGACTATCGAAGTTTGTTGACAGCGACAAACCGGGGGAACACGCGGGAGGTCGATCATTTGCGGACAATAAACTAGCCCACTATAAGGTGGATCTTGGTTCAATAGTAGATCCATATCTTCAGAAGCGGCCGGCCTGTCCTGCATGATGTATTTCTTCAACAATGTTCTGGAAGCTTGTGCATTGACCACTCGGGCTGCTCCCCCCAGGAGGCGAGAAGTGGTGCCCCATTGTGGAGCTGATATCTCACTCATCGATTTTGTCATGTAAAGTTGTTTGAGTTCATGGTAGATGCTACTTCCACCGGTGGCTGTGAAGGTTCTCATTCTGGCAAATGCGGAATTTAAACCATCCCTGGAAGTTCTGATTTATCATCTCGAGCCCCTATTCCGTATCCCCGTGACATAGGTGCTCAATAGTCTCGCGAGGTGATGGGTATTATGGGATGACTCCAATGTCCAGACAAACAGACTAAAGTGGAACCTTAGATATCAAAAGGCCATATGGATCTCAGTGTCTCTTCATCCTTCACAGGCTCATCTGGATCGTCGATTTCAGGATTAGTCAATACGGCCTGCAACATTCCATCAAACATCCCATGATGCGCTGTCTGCGCCGCCTCCCAGTCACCCGTTGGCACCCAGCCATCAGTGGCTGCGTTGAGCAAGCCTGCCAGATCATAACGCAGATTATGCGCTGCTTCAAAAAGTCTATACTTCTTCTGATGATCTGCCACTTCATGCGGTGGAGGGACTGCGTAAGGACATGGTCCTGCAAAGCCTAGCTTTCCCCAGTTTTGAGATGTGTCAATCAGGTCGTGGTGTAGTGCCGCAGCTCTATCCTTCCACGTCCTGTAGCTGTAGCGAAATGGTCGAAATAGATTTTCATCCATCAATCTCGGCTTTGAAAGCGTGGGTATAAGAAATTGGGTGCAGACATCAAATGCCCTAGTGCAGACCTCATTCTCCGTTGCAAAGTCGGGAATCTCATCTGCATACCAGAACGCCGGCTCAATGCTAGCGGCCTGCCAGTCAATGATAGCCGTTATCTCAGAAGGATCATCCTCTGAGACAAATATGTTCCTCTTGTGAAGGTCTGGGTGAAACAATACTGGTGTCGCACAGTCCTTTATCCGGTAATCCTGAGACATGCATCTCATCAGGTCTCGCGTCTGAGCTAGAAGCATCTTGTGTGTTTCGACTGAGCCATGATACATCGGTCGTCGTTTCGTTTCCGAGTCCACAGCCGGAAGCCTCGATAGACCAGCATCAATAAGGCCATCACAGTATTCATAAAGGTCATTCCCTAGTCGTTGGTTAGCCAGTACTGACGCCATGGGGTTGATTTTGATAACCCACAGGGCCCCCGGTTGGGTTTTCTATCAAGTGAAGCCTGGCCTCTTCCAAGGTCACAATTCCAGTATCTCGTTCCACAATGTGGTCCAATACAAAAGTCTCCGTCAAGCACACGCCTGTTGTCGGGGCCTACGGGACTGCGTATAGGATACAGACTCCCAAACCACGGAAACTGTAGGTCAACCACTTCTTTAAGCTTCCGGTAGATTGCGTCTATACACTTGATACGTTTTTTATCGTCCATTTCATGCCACTTCTTGTGCAACTGAACACCAGTTGCATGCTCCATGATGATGTATTCGCTGCCAATCGGATTATCGATGCTCGTGGCATCGTTGCTCCAGTCGAGTATCTTGGGTATAGGAACGGTAGTATTGGCTTGCACTGAAGAGCAGAGTGCACCATAAGCCAGTGAAGCGAAAGAATGATGAGAGGAACTTACGATATTCGATCGTTGCGATCTCAGAGCTGGTCGTCAGCTGTGCCGGGCCAGCCAGCGAAAACGGAAGTCTTGCGACCACTCGCTTATCGTTGTCCAGTTCAAACATGAAGACCCGGTTGAAGCCACCTTCCAATTTTTGACACTTCGTGATCGTACTTGCACCTGGCGATAGAGTCAGGACCTTGCGACGGAGGGCATCAAAATCGAATTGAATGTAGCGAGAGGCTCGCTCCTCCTCGTCATTTCGAAGCCAGCGCCCACTAGTGTAATTATATGGATCGAGATCTAGGTGTACACCATTGCGATCATGATCATGATCTGTTGGTGTCGAGTGACCGTAAGAAATCGGTGTATGATACATCCGCAAATCTCCCCGGGCTTTCCTCGTAGCCGTTGAGTGCCGATAGCATGCCTTGTCCGCCACGCGGAATGTGTGTCGTCTAACGAGCCCTGTTGTTGTCGAAAGGAAGAAAGGGGGTAGTCGCCGGCGCGTAGCATGAGCCATTCTTAACGATTGCTGCATCATATTCCAGAAGATGCAAGTTGGAAAGAGAAGCAGAGGGAAATAGGGAAGGGGAAAGGAACGCTCTTATCCTCCGAAGCCTAGAGTCAGTCATACGTATATGGGAAACCGATCGAAGGGGCGGATGAAGATGTTTGTCTGGTATTCGTTGGCTCCCTAGCAATAGACAGTGGACTTTGGTGACATAGAATATAATTCTCTTTTAACAATGAGGATGAGATATAATACTCCTTGAGCCTTGTAACATTCTAGTCGCAGGGATCATAGTCCACATCATTATAGTACCGGGAAATATGCGGATGCAAAGGAACCGAGGAGTAGGGAGTGACAGCAATCCAACGGTCCCGAACTCCCGGGATGACAGTCCCCGCTCGATGGGTGCCTTGTTCAAGCGCCCGGCAGGCAAGGATGCTTGCTTGCTCCTTATCGGTGTCCCCGCCGACAGCATTATGCACCCTGATAGGCACACTTCTCCGATCTGACTTAAACGTGGTAGCCTTGGAGACACGTAAGTATCGACTCCATCCTTCTTAGCCACCTTGCGTCCCCCCTGGGGTGTCCCTCACTTCTCGGCCATCATCAAGACGAAACCCGATCTGTAATTCTACTGAGAGTCCTTATACCTCCGTCTACAGCATCATGGCATCCATGAACCAAGTTGTTACTGGTTATGCCGCTCGTCGAGCGAAACTAGAAGCCAGTCAAAATCCCTATGCCAAGGGCATCGCCTGGGTTGAAGGACAACTCGTTCCCCTCAGGGAGGCCCGCATCCCCCTAATCGACCAAGGCTTTCTGCGCAGTGATTTGACCTACGATGTCATCGCCGTCTGGGACGGCCGGTTCTTTCGCCTAGACGACCACCTCTCTCGACTTGAATTGGCCTGCGTGAAGTCGCGTCTCAAGTTGCCTATATCCCGCGATGAAGTGAAGGAAACCCTGGTTAGGATGGTCGCGCAAAGCGGTATTCGGGACGCATATGTGGCTCTGATTGTGACGCGGGGACTGCAGAGCGTTCGCGGTGTCAAGCCGGAGGATTTAGTAAACAACCTGTACATGTTTGTGCAACCCTATGTCTGGGTCATGGATCCAGAGGTCCAACGGATCGGTGGAAGTGGTGTTATTACGCGAACTGTTCGTCGGGTGCCCCCAGGGGCTATCGACCCTACCGTGAAGAACTTACAATGGGGTGACTTGACTCGAGGTATGCTCGAGGCTGCGGATCGAGGTTCCATGTACCCGTTCTTGACGGACGGAGATGGCCATCTCACGGAGGGATCCGGTTATAATATTGTTCTGATCAAGGACGGCGCGATTTATACGCCTGATCGCGGGGTGCTACATGGTGTCACCAGGACAAGTGTCATTGATGTTGCACGAGCTTGTGGGATCCAAGTTCACCTCGAGGCTGTGCCGGTCGAGTTGGCGTATCAGTGTGATGAAATTTTCATGTGCACGACAGCGGGTGGAATCATGCCCATCACAGAGTTGGATGGGAAGCCTGTGAATCGGGGGCAGATTGGTCCGGTCACGAAGAAGATCTGGGACGGGTATTGGGCTATGCATTATGACCCAGCCTACAGCTTCGCAGTCAGATATGATGATGAATCAAAGGCCAAGCTGTAATTGTAGGGAAGTAACAATGGCCGAGATTCAGATATTGCATACTCGTAGCGAGGTTTCCGGTTTGGCGCCTTTCTTTCGTGGTCTTGTAAGTCCCCGTCAAATGTAGGTTTCCATATGTCTACCGTAGATAGTATATCCACTCCTGGGGTGATATAAACTTTCTCAATGACCAAACATTATCGTGACCGAGTATTTGGAAAGGTTCCCCGAGAGGCGATGACTGATGGAGACGACCAAACCGGCTGTAGATCAGTACCGTTACTTGTCTCTGGGCTAGATAAAGCGACTCTATGCAGGACCAATTTGAAGACTTTAGGATCAGCATGAACATGAGAACTCTGACACCTAAATTATAGAGGACCTCACTGGAGCAGATCGATATCGACTCCAAAAATAACCGAATGGACAAGATTGAAGACGACGGCATCACTCTGCTGGCACCCAATGGGCATGACCTCAGAGTCATTGACTCGATGTACTTGCTATGGCGACTCATGCGGGAGCAAGATGACTGAAACAATCAGAGCACATTCAAATGGAAGGTAATGATGATAAGCAAGCAATTCCAAAGAAGGCCTGGTGGGTTGTCCAGACTGAATCTGGTCGGGTAAGTGGAGGAAACGAATCGGTAGTAACCGGGGTAGATGACGAAGTTGAAAGAGCTCAGGAGATTTCTTTGTTTGTCGACAACAGTGTGATTAGCCAGCTGCTCGGTTACGATCATGCCATCCCCGGATTAGTGCTATCCTCCTTGCCAGGTTCTCCCTTCCTACTCCTTCCCAATTCCTCCTTGGGTACTTAAATTTGTCAAGCAATAACAAGGGGAAAAGCGAAAAGTATGTGAGTAGTTCGTGTGTCATGGCAATGGCTAGACATGACTGTCGGCGCGAATCTTACTTCCTGCCGTCTTCACCATTCCCGCATGGAAGGCTCAGAGCAGGTAGGTCTGACTGTTGGAAAGCGATTGGGAGCGCCCTGGCACCTCGCAAAAGAGTTTCGAGTTTATACGGTCCCATAGTATAAGGTAGATTGTATATTTTGAAACTATTACTTTCAATGTTTCTCGGCAATGAGACTGTCGGCCGGTAGCAGGATGGTCAAACCTGTTGAATATCTGTTATTAACAGATATTTCGCTCTGGAGCTCTTCTTTAAAAAGAAGGAATCAGAGTTACTGTGCTCGTCTCTCATTAGTTTTGACTGTCCTCTTTGCCATTGTCCGTAGATGGGCAGGATCGGTGATCAGAAGGGCATGAGGGTCAACCGCAGTATGGAGATATCGCGATACGATCTCGAGTCTGGTATACCACTCTGACTACGTCAGGATATAGAGATCACGAATTCGCGATTGGCTGTCTTTTCCGTTTCTGAATCCCACGCGCGTCATATTCCGGATGGCGGAGACGGAGAGAGTAAGTAGAAAAGGAGGAAGTGGAAAGAGACGGCGAGAGCAGCTGACTTCAGTTATCTCATCCTCGCCTCTTTTCCGCTCCGTCAACCCATCTGCCTCTCGACTCCTTTCCCGATCATATCATCCTATGCATGCATTAGAAATGGTTTCATTCCTTCGTCGAAGAATTCTATCGACAGGGATGAGAAAAGTCCGAAATTGCTGGCTATTCCGGCCGAAGGAAACCACGAATCAACATCGGGAAAAGACTATAAGCAAGATGTTATAGTGCGCTCTTTTTCTCTCCCTGCCAATATCCCGTGGAAGGGAAAGGGAAATGCTGGACGGTCTGTCATAAGCAAGAAAACCGTTCCCCATGACGATCGAATGCGTGAAGAGTTCAAATTCTCTGCAAGGAGAGACATCACTAGTTACAGAGTGTTAGTTGTCTGGTTCATACCCTTGCTGTCTTGATGAATATCTGGTCCGCCTTTTTCTTTGCTTCTTTTTTTGTTCCGCTTCTTCGTGGTGCCTTTTTTCTTTTTCTCTTCGCGCAAGACATACATAAGCGCGGCACTAGGACTAGTCTGCGTGGCCAAAGGCGCTGGATCGCTTGCTGACAAGGTTTCTGTTGCTTCTTAGTCTTGCCTCTGCGAAGCTCTACGCCGTTTGTTGATGAACCGGCTTAGACGCATCAGATGGAAATATTATAGAGTCGTCCGGCAGGGATACTGGGCAACTCTCCTACCCCATAGTATTGCATTCTCGACTGACCATGCAGCTGCTGTCCATCTCCAACCCCGATCGCACCAACCGGAAAGCGAAGCATCACCACCGCTTTTCGAGCCTGTCGCACGACGCTAAAACCGCCGATCCCTGCAAGATCCCCCAACTGCCTGAGAGGGGGTTGTCTTCCCTCGCCCCTTTAGGTCCCCCCAATGGCTCCCGCCTCAACGAGCCTGCATTTGCTTTAGCCCATATCACACAAGCCTAGGCAGCCAGGACACGTCTGGAGCCTTCTGCCCGGTACATTGCTGTGTACCGAAATACCGAGGAGCGTGGCGGGAGACATTGGTTGCTCAATTGATTACTCGCGCGCGGTACGGAGTAGATTATTTTTTTTCTGTTTTGGATGGGGTGATAGGTCACAAGGATATTCTGGTGCAACGTCCGTTATCGCATCATCATCCGTTTGGTCTGGTTGTTGTCGACCTCCACCATAGCCCCCCTGCACCAATAGTGGAGAGCGGGAACATAAGGACCAGGAAAGAGCCAGAAGGACCAAACCCCGGCGGGCGTTCAGCTGAGTGAGAGGTACGGAAGGACGGAGTGCGCCTCTGCCTTATCCGCGCGGTCACAAATAAAAGGCGGACAGCCGACAGGACCCTAGCATGAAATCTGACAGGCCGGCATGAAATTAGCGTTCAAGGAGCCACGGTCTAGGATCATTCGGAACCAAGACAAGTCGGAATAAGGTGCACAAGAGTCGCCCGCGAAAGCGATGGTCTCTGAACATCGTCATTCTCCTGGTGTAAGCCACCACTCGAGTGTGTCTCTATGATCCTTACTAGCCGGAGCTACGAGTCAAATCCAGAGACCCCCCAGGTTTTAATGAGTGTCACAATAGACTTTGTTCGCCCACCAACAATCTAGCAACCTGCTTCCTGTTCCTGTTCGCATAAGTATCTCTCTCTCTGTGCCTGGCAGCGACACAACCGTGTTCCTGGGCCAAGTGACGATTTCCCTTCCCCGCCCCATCAGACCAGATCATTCAGTAGCCCGCTATATTCTGGACGACGCCGAGCAGGACGCGAGTAAACGAGATGTCTTCTGGGGATGGCACCAGAAACAATCCACCTGAGGCTTCGGGAGCTGCCAAAGCGGGCTCTCGAAAGAAGATCCGACCCACATACTCGTGCTTAAACTGCCACAAACGCAAAGTCAAGGTATGGTTGTCTTTGAAATCAATACCCATTGTTCGCGGCGCATGCTTTGGGGGCTGGGAGCCGTCTTAAATGCCGAGCAGGTCTCACCATCGTGGTGTCGTGCCCTCCTGACTAACGCGCGACTTGACAGTGCGACCGAGTAAAGCCGTGCGGTGCCTGCTGCCTCCGCGGTACACCGTCCGAGTGCGAATACGGCACCAGCAAGCGGGACCGCCATTACATTCAGCAGTCGGCTTTAATCGAGAACCTTCTTCGGTCCTGTGAGAACCTGAAACAGCAGCTTGCCGAAGCTCGCCAACTCGCCAATCTTCCCGCCATAAAGGACGAAGACGGATCGCTACCGAGCAGCCAGGCGCTCTACTCCATCAAGGAGTCGGACAACTCGGTTGAGGATGGAGACGACTCATTGGACGAATTAGACCTTTCTTCCAAGGCCGCAGACAATCAGTCTTTGGCTTCACCCAACACAGTAGCGCTGGAGGGGCAACGTACACGTAAAGAAAGTACGTGGTTATCATACCCTCCCCGACCTTTGCATATCCCTTTCGCTCACCAGGGTCCAGGTCGTTCCTCCTCTCCACCGTTGTTGAAAGAGAAAGTCATCCTTACTGATCCCAATCTAGCTAACGCATTAATTGAATTTTATGTTGAACGCTTGGTCACTGATTTCAGTCCCCCCCAAGTCAGCGGCACCATCGCGTTACGTGAAGCTCGGTCCTTGCGAGTCTTTTCGCCAATTCTGTGCAGTGCGTTTGAAGCGGCATCTCTCACATTCGCTGGCCGGCGCGATGGAAACCGCTCAGTCGAGGTAGCTGGACACTCGCGTTACCTCCGAGTCTTGCGCTCTCTTCAACATGCTTTGTATGACCCTCAACAGGGCAAGTCGACCGAGGTCCTTGTCGTCGTTCTCCTAGCTACTATCATAGAAGTGAGTCCTGATTGTCGCTTGCGCGATCCCTCGCTAATGTCGCAATAGGCCTTCAAGCAAACATCAAAAGACTCACTTCTCAAGCATCAGCTGGGTGGTTTGGAGCTTTTACGGACTCGAACACCATATCGACATCGACATGGGATTGAGCGCTCTTTGTATGTTGACCTTCGGATGTATTGGGTAAGATAAACCATCACCATTATCCCTAGAAACGAATTTGACAAAGTGACCAGGTCACGGCAGCATTGGTACATCGGAAGCCTACTTTCCTTGCGGAAAAAGATTGGTTGACAGTCCCATGGCCTGGAGACGGACCGGCCAAAGACATCCTTCAACGCCTGCTGGATGTTGCAGTGCATATCCCCGGATATCTTGCCCAAGTTGACGAGTTCTCAGCTCTACTAAAAGGGGGGAACAAGCCCCCATCAGAGCTAGTCAACATGCAGAGTGCCATTTGGGAACGGGCCACCGAACTTCAAGGTCTTCTCCAAGTATGGAAGAACATGTATGCCGACACATACCCGTCAGGCGGGCCATGGGAGGAAAATCCAAGCGAAGCAGACCCAACCGACGACTTCCCCAAATTCAGGTGTCGCAACCCCAGCACAATGCAAGTCATAGTGGGACAAAATATCATGTACCCGGACCTGCTTCTAGCGACATCAATGACCTTCTACTGGGCCTTGGGCCTGATCATCTCCATCACCGATCCAGGACTAGTCAGCGTCCTCGGGCTCCAGGAACGATATCAGTACGCGTGCAACATCTGCCGCAGCATGAAATACTACACCCA